ATAACCGGGTTTTTCTTTCTCAATAAATTTAGAACTATAAAGGTATTTATACTAGTGACTTGATACTGTGGCTATGGTTTCTTATTTATAATGATATCATGTAAATGGTTTAACTTATCTTACTTGTATGGTTGAAAGTTACCACATTTTAACTCAAACTTAATGAAAAACAAATAGAAGTATGGTTTTATCAATACACTAATATACATAGCATTTATTATTTCAATACTTAATATTTGGCATGTGTGTATCAAATATGTATATATCTTTTTATTTTTTATTAATTAATAGATAGTTCTTAAGTAATGAATATCTAAATATTTCATAATATATTAATATCTAAAATTTTTTATGTTATAAGTAATAGATATAGCAGAAAAAAACTATAAAAGATAGAGAGAGAACTAGTTTTTAAAGGTTTAGTTACCATACAAGTCATGGATTTAATAATTTTTTATTGAAACACCATTTTTTTAGATTTATAGAAAGTTATTAGCCTTGATCTCTATACTTTGTTGCATATTAGATAATATGTTTTTAAAATAACATTAAGATATTGGAATTGAATAAAAAAAGGATATAAAAAATTAGTGATGACAAACCTGTAACCATGTTAATTAAAGTCAAACAAACATAAGTTATTATATCAAATATACGGTTCAGATCATGAGATTAAAATAATTTGATAAAAAAATTATAAAGTTTTTTTTTAAAATCATGTTAACTTTTCAAACTTGTGACCTTAATCATTAGACTTAATGCATTTAATTTAAAAAAATCATAAAATCTAATTATCAATCAATTACATATTGAAAGGTAAAATTAAAATAAGAATTTCAATTATACAAAAGGATTAACAAATAGCAATAAAAAAATAAAAAAAATTAAAATACAAAATAATTTTTATATTTGATGAAATGGTGAAATGTAAAAGAGAAATCATTTTAGTAAAAAGAAAAAAAATAAAAGAATGAGGGTTCAAATTGACATGAAAATAAAATTAATATTTTGACTGGAGAGTAAAATTGAAAAAAATAATAATTTTCACAAAAAGACCAAGAACAAAAATAGAAATCAAAGTAATAAGGACCAAATAAAAAAAACATGATAATATTAATTTGAATTGAATGGTAAAGTAGAAAACCAAAAACACTTTTACAAAAAAGCTAAGGCAAAAAATTAAAAATTCAAAAAATAAGAACCAAATTAAAAAATATAATATGTCATAAATTGAGATTGATTGATAAAATTATATATATATAAAAACACCTCCTTCTACAAAATGACCAAGACCAGGACCAAAATTAAAAATCAAAAGAAAAAGAACTAAAATTGAAATATCAACAACCACGTAAAAGGATCAAGTTGCAATTTTCAAATAAAAAAAAATAAAAAATAAAAAATAAACCTACTAGTGACAAATTGAACCACCACCAAAAATATGCATCATACTTAAAGAAAATGAATAAGGTGAAATTTTCAACAATAAAATAAAAAGATATTGTTGAATGCTAAAAGGTATTACACAAGCTGCTTGAAGCTTCCTAATAGCTCTAAATGCATCACAGGCACATATTTTTTTTATTTAGTTAAATACTAAAATGCTTTTAAGTTGATTTTATAATTGCAAAAGAAATCATTGTAATAATACCAAGAAGCTCCTGACTCTAGATTTTTTTTTAAGGATGTTTTTATTGTTTTATTATATATTTTAATTATAATTATTTTTTATATTTTATCATATACCAAATTATTTCTTAGTTGGCATTTTAATAATGAAAAACTATTGTGAAAATACTTAAAGTCCCTTGCATCAATTTTTATTTTTAATAATAATTTGATCATTTCACTATGCAATTAAGATGATAAATGACTCATTTTTCTTCTTTGAATCTTATAACAATAAATGGCTCATGTAAAAATAATTGTTATAGTTAGCAATACTAAAAACTGGAATTGGAACAATATAATAGTTTTTTGGTTAACATATGTTAGATTTGTTTTGAGAAATGACACAGTCGAAATAAAATTTTAGAAGAATAATATATTTTTAATTTTTTTTTGAAAAAATAGCATAGTTTGAAGAGAACAGCTATTTTAAATCACATTAAACGGCAATTCAAAATTACAATTCTAATGATTGTTGATAACTTATAAAATAATTATTCAGAATTACAATTTTAATGTACTGCTTTCTATTATTATGAATGAGGACGTGGGAGAGTATCTCATATTTCCACGTGTCATCATTTTTTTTCTTTACTTGGGTCTGATATATATATATCTATATATATATATATATATATATATATATCATTAAAATGTATCAAAGTAAAAAACATCATTAGGTAGAGCATGAGTTTTTACTCTCTCTTCTCACATAAAATACATGAGACCCATCAAAGTCATTAATCCAATCCTACCTATGAAACAAATTGTGATGATAACATTTTATTTTTCTTTTTATCTCTTAGAACTTCAATTGAATTTTTAAACAATATTTTTAATTATTGCGAAACAAACAAGAGTTATCATACTTGATCAATAACATATAAAGGTATATAAATACAATAATATTAATAATAAATCTATAAAAAACTATGAATAATATTAATAATCTCTACTGCATTTGCTCGAATGGGAATGTTTTAGGCTTGCAATGTGTACAAATCAAAACACCCGACCACCTCATGTTTATACCGAAAAAACAACAAAGTAACTGGATTGAAAATTTGAAAAGATACATGAAAAAAGAGGAGGGGTGTTGAAAACACAAATTATCATAAATAAATAATTATTTGAAATAATAAAAATCATAATAAAAAAAAATTAAAACAAAGTTAGGCCATACATATTAAAGGATTTCAGGATATAATATACGATAAAAAAATATTGATAAAATAACACATTTTCACTCAATGATAATAAAAATCACGAATAACCACTAATTAAAATCACGGTTTTATCGTCAAGCCAAGAAATAAGGGCAAAAGCGGAGTCTTCATTACAACATCACTCAATGATAATATTGAAAAGGAACACGTCACCCTCAGTCAGACAATCCACAATTAATTTTTTTAAAGCAAGTGTACAGCTGCTAAAGATAAATGCTGTCGGTATATTAATTCTGAATTATTAAAAGCATAATTTTAATATTTTTAAAACTATATTATTTAAAAAAAATTAAAACTACATTATTCTCTTGAAACTTTCAAGTAATTATGTTAGTTTCTTTTTTTTTAAAAAAAAAACTCCAAACCATCCTAGTTTTATAAAAGATACACAGATGTCATCAAGATATTTGTATCCTTTCTCTCCGTCTTTGAGGTGATAAGTGCAATAAACAATCAAAGTTTTTTTAAGGCTAGTTATGTTTTTAATATTTACTGAGATTTTTTTTAAGTGTTTTTATTTAAAAATTTATTAAAATAATATTTTTTTATTTTAAAAAAATTATTTTTAATATTAATTCTTCCAAATAATCCAAAAACATTAAAAATTTTAATTTTAATTTAAAAATTTTAAAAACACTACTTTAACCGTTTCCAAACCTTTGGGAAAAGAACAGGATTTGGAAAAACTAAACGAGTGGCGTCGGCAGCGGTAAATAATAATTATGCAGATTTTCTGGATATTGATTTGATTTTGAATAGTATGAGACGTGGCAAGACGACACGTAGCTTTGATTAAAATAAACAATAGATTCGGAGATGTCATCGAGAAGATATTTGCACCCTCTCTCTCTCTGAGCTGTCTGATGAGGTGACAAGTGCATTAAACTATCAACTCAAAAATCAAAATAGTATGTTATTTGTTAATTTTATAACATTTGGTCCTTGTTTTTTTAATTTTTTCATTAATTTTATTATTTAACATTTGATTTTTATATCAAATTTATCCTCTTATTTTATGATATTTCATGTTTGACTTTTGATGCTTTAATTTTGATTTTTTATTGTTATTATTTTTTTCAAAATTTATTTTTTTATTTTTTATATTATTATTTTTTTCAAAATTTTTATTTTTATTTTTTAAAGTTTTATTTTTAGTTTTAATATATTAAAATAATTTAAAATAATATTTTTGGATTTGACAAATGATTTATAATGTTTTTACTATGTTTTTGGTTGAGAATATGTTGAAAATATATTTTTAGGTCATCCCTCCTAATAGATCACTTGTTGTGTGCTTAAAAAAGTAAAAGTGAGTGGCCCTCATCTGATTCTAATATTAAAAAAAAAATGACTTTAATTTTTAAACATACCCGATCTTTTTATTTTTAAAATAATTTTTTTAGTATTTTTATATTTTTTTTATTTTTTTTTAATTTATAACATTAAAAAAATAATCAGGATGATATTAACATGCTTTTATCAAGTTGAAACTCGTTCATGAGCAACCGTACACATGGATTCTTTCGATTAACAAATAATCCTATTATCTTCTTGTTTTTATGGTTTAAAAACACTTTTATAGTTTAAAAATACTTTTGAAAAGAATTAAAAAAAATTCTATTTTTTCAAATTAATATATTTTTAGTATTTTTAAATTATTTTGATGTACTAATAATATCTAAAATAATTTTTTAAAAATAAAAAATATATATTTTAATATAAAAATTATGTTAAAAAAACTATAATTACATTATTAAAAAACAATTTAAGTGTTTTTTAGGAGCTTATTTTATGTTTTGTTTTTTAGTTACTCTATAGATATGATAAAATAATAGTTTAATATAAAATATCATTTATTTACATTCATCCAAAAGTAACGCTTTATTTCAACCGAAGACCAGACCATCAGTTGAAGGACAACTGGCATCAGATCATCTGTTTTGTAGTTAAAGACCCTAAAAATATCTGGATATCCACTTGCCATAAAAAGGCAGCATTTCCTGACCACAAACAACAATCAAATGATTTGTCGTTTGCCAGTTCTTACATGGCAAAGCCTCGCTTGTTTGTCTGGAAGTTTGTACCTGTGGGTTCACACTTCACGTCAAGAAATTGATAGCCAAGAAATATAAGAAGGGGAGGAGGGAAACGTGAGAGAGCAACGGATGGAAAAGAAAGGTTACTTGGCCATGAGGAGGGATCAAGAAATGGCAAGTGGATTGATTACTTCTGATTTTCAAGAATTTGCTAATGCTGCTAAGAAGCTAGCTAATCATGCTATCAAGCTTGGCGGATTAGGATTTGGTACCACTTTTCTTAAATGGATCGCTTCCTTTGCTGCAATGTAAGCATGCTTTGAAGTTTGATCCTTCTTTCTCTTCTTTATTTAACATTGCTGTTGTTGCATCGATCTTACTGATTTAGTGGCCAATTAAGACTTTTGTTGTTTCAAATTTAAAGGTGAACATGTTAGCTTGAATTTGATTGCTTAGGCTCGAGAATTATTGTTGATATCTGTGTGAATTATAGCTTATCTTAAGCCTTACAATGAAGTAGGTACTGCTTCTTAACTCATCATGTGTATGTGGTATGGTATCAATTTGCTCGTGTCTATAAACAATTCTTGATAATTGGAAACTGCAAATTAAGATCAAGATATTGTGCGATAACTACCTACCTGGGTTTCTAGCAGTTGCTCTATCAAAATCTTTGAAGAACATGATCAGTTCTGCAATGACTGCTATGTAGATGATTAGTTTTTCTTCAATCTTGCTGCTAGCTAACCATCTTATACTTCGTTTTTCTAGCCCACTTCGTCTCTTTTACGTTGCTAATGGATTAATATAACTTGAATTGTGCTCGCTGCAGTTATCTATTGATCTTGGATCGAACGAACTGGAAAACGAACATTCTTACTGGACTATTAATCCCCTACATTTTCTTTACTCTTCCTTCAATATTGTTCAACGTTCTCAGGTCAGTTTACACTCTTTGACCAGCATTTTATGGCTTCCCCACCCCATTTTTGTCATTATTGATCTGTTTCTTTGTGCAGGGGAGAGATTGGAAAATGGATTGCTTTCGTTGCTCTTATATTGCGTCTTTTCTTCCCAAAACATTTCCCAGGTATGAAGCTGCTTTCTTCATTAATTTTCCTGACCATTACGATTTACCGTTGCCATTTTATATGCGTTTAGACTAAAGGAATATCAACTTTCTTGGCAATCTATGTAAGACAACTAATTATGTCTCTTATTGCAGATTGGCTTGAATTGCCTAGTGCGTTGATTCTTCTAATAACGGTGGCTCCCAGTTTGTTTGCGAGCACGGTAAGGAATGATTGGATTGGTGTGGTCATATGTTTAGCCATTGCATGTTATTTGCTCCAAGAACACATCCGGGCATGTGGCGGGTTTAGAAACTCCTTCACAAAAGCAAATGGCATATCCAACATTGTTGGCATAATACTTCTGTTTGTTTATCCCGCCTGGGCAATTGTGCTTTATATCCTTTAAGCTCAGTACCTCAGCAGATGCTCATTGTATCCATGTCAGCAGCTTTCTTGATTTATGATTTGTTTTGTTGTCTTATCAGTTTGTCAGCAGCTTTCTTGTGTTGTTCTAGCCTGTAATAAAACAAATTTAATGTTGTGTTCCCCACTTTCGGAGCTGTTGTTTAATGTAATATGGGCCATGTTATGATGATCATGTTCTTCTAAATAGCCTCCAGAGATGGTTTTATGAGAACGAAAACATGTTCACCCCCAGCTTACCCATCCTCACAAGAGGATTGGGGTACCAAGACCTTTCCTATGAATGGAGATCACAGTGTTGATCAGAGGTTGAATGGATAACAACAAAATCAAAGGTTACTGATGTTGTAAGTGTTTTCATTTCCAGAGGGGCCCAGGAAGTATTGAGATACAAATGAAATGAATAAGGAGAATTGAGGTAATTGAACAAATAGCTTGATAAGTACAAATAAGATACATATATATAAAAAAAAAGAAATCTGAAATTAAGGGGATTTTTTTTTTGTGAGAAACTAAGTTATTGATTTAAGGTTTATGTTTTAACATGTATAATTGTGGTTATTAGTTTTGTCAAGGTTTTTGGATATCAATACAATTTTTTTTTTTTGATAATTATAGCATTTAACTTTTAATTTGTTAAACTTAGATTTTATATTGCCAACTTAGATTTCATATTGCCACTCTCAATGTAACGTAACTGATTTCATGTTGCCAACTTAGATTTAACATTGAAGTGGGAGATTTGGATTGACCATATCAAACAATCAAACCTTAGATTTAACGTTGAAGTGGGAGATTTGGATTGACCATATCAAACAATCAAACCTAATCTCTGAAGCTACATGTTGGAACAAGGCCATATGTTGGAAGAAGGATAAGTGTGATAGAAGATAAAAAATAGTAATGCAAAGTCAACAACTCAAGAATAAAAAAAAAATTAAGAGGAAGAAATACTTTAATTAAGTGGTTTTCTCTATACTTCTTAGCTATTCTTTTTTTGTTGTGGTTTTCAATGATCTTGAATTACAAGTTTTTTTTTATAAGTATAAAGTCTTAGATGATTAAAGAAATAAATTACTATAAGAAAATTTTTGTCAACTAAACTGATTAATTATTTCTGAACTGATCAATTAATTCAATTTATTCTAGTTTGTCAACTGGTTCTCAACTGGTTCTCAACTGATACACCAATTCCTTTGTTTTTAGAACTAAAATCTAACTTATTTTCAACATCTTTAATATAAGCAGTATAGAATATCCAGTTACAATAAGGATACCAGTGTTTATACGGTTGTAAACTCTAGGAACCCCACAAAATATGCTTTGCTTCAATTCTTGAACGTCCTCCAAGTATCTAACATCCTATAAGCAGAATGCAAGGACAACCTCAGTACATAAAATTCATAGGTGATTAGGTTAAAGAGCAAATGGAACATAAATAAAAACAGAAGGCGAGTAATCATTGAAAAATTCCATTCTTGATCTTAACCCTCGCCAAAATCCTATGAAAGCACTTTTGTAAATGCAACAGCTCTTAATTATTTGACCATATACATGGGCCAGGGTAGGAAAGAGAAGTATGAATCTTCTTCTGCTGCCTATAACACAGAAAACTCAAACTTAGATCATTTCTAAACTATAAACACACAAAAGCAAGGCATTTAGTCCGAAGATGAAAACTACTCTGTTTCCTAGGAGAGAATTGGAGAAATATCAAATTCGTAACTTGAGGGGGGGAATCAGAAACGATTTGAAAACAGAATTTGTGTTTAGTTGTTCACCACTCTGTCTGTCAGAAAAAAGTATCTGGTTCACGGACAATACTTCTGCCATGAGAGCCCCATTGGTTACGATAACACCTTTTGGCTCTCCTGTTGTTCCACTACTGTACATTATTGTACAGACATCAGTCTTCTTTTCTGGGGGTAATTCACAATCCAAACTCCCCTGTGAAAATTTGGGCAGTAGTGCAAAACTCTAAAAAACCCAACTTGAATGACTACTAAAACATGAAGGATTAATTTAACGTAAAGAGTAAAATGATCAATTATGAAAGAGGAGAAGTCCATGTAAACATCATAACAACTGAGGAAATTCTTCCCATGAAAAGCAAGATACTCCCAGTTCTTTAGCTTCCTTCTTTTACATGTCAGAAATGTTTCCAAAGTTGACAATTGTCACTCTGGAGTATCCTCTCAAACTTTTTAAAAAGAGGAGCTTTTAACAGTCTTTGAACCTACTTTTTAAATGTGAAGAGCACCTTGGAAGGCAAGATAAAATCTACAAAAAGAGCAGCCATTGTGTGAATCAAACAACACATTATATGTAATTTATTAAAATTCTGAAGACGATCAAGATTCCGCTGTGAGATATAAGAACATTAATTCTCAGTTCGGATAGAATGAGAACTTACTGAATAGAGCTTGCTCTCTTGGACAAAGGCTAAAGAAACGTCAGCGTGGTTGATAATGAACCCCACAGCATAAGTGTTGGGAAAACTAGGAACAACCGGACACCAATTTACCTGGATCAATTCACTGGAATACAATTACAATTCACAAGTCCGAATTTTTTCCCTCTTTATGCAGTAAAACAGAATTAAACAATGATGAAAAATAATGCAAATAATCACAAAATCAACACCAAGATTTTTAACGTGAAAAACCCGATGCGGGAAAAACCACGGGACCGTAGTCCATCTAAAAACTTCCACTATCAACAAATAATGGATTCACAATCATTCTTCCTCAGATTCAACTAAGGGATACAACATATATATTATCAAGAACAACTTATTCTTGGATTACAACAAGATTAAATGAGAATTATTTGAGAAAAACTCACAAAACTGACAGCCCTATTTTTTATCAAAACGACCAGCTTCCACACCACCAATCTTCGATCCAACCGTCCAGAATAAAGATCAACGTGTCTAGAACCTGCTTTCAAAATCTCAGCCCAATCCAACGGTGAATGAGCTGGAAATTGAAGGAAAAATGCAGGCTGCTCTGCTGCCTTTTCTTCTCTTTTTCTCTCTTAATTTTCTTCTCCTCTCTTCTCTTTTCAAAATCTGCCGCTACAGTACCCGAACCACATTAATATTAACACTAATAAACAGCCGTCACATGACATTTAATGTGGTGGTCCTACCATCACATGGTGTAGGACCACACACAACAATAAAACCCTTTATTTGACAAAGAAAGTTTATAAGTGAAAATTCAACAGATCATTCTAGAATTGAACTGGGATTTATTGAAGAATGAAAGGGAAGCAATACCAAGAGTGTCGTAGAGTGGTACATATTTTATAGCCTGGTTGTTGCAAGACTGAGGAAAACCAAACACAAATATATGAAACTTGACCGGCAGCACAAGTTATGATCAAATATACTTGTGAAATGGATAAAAGAAGACCAGCACTGCTAAGTTGAAGGTCGAAGAAAAAGTTGGAAATTTGTGAATTGAATATGGTATGGCTCGTATAATTTACCTCCATAGCAGCAATCCATTCTGGGCAGTTGGAACCATAAACACCGCAACGGTCTCCCTAGAAATGAAAATCCAAGCTGATTATTTACATTAATCATTAGAATGACTTTGGTTGGAAAGAAAACAAAAAACATAACACTTGCCATCACTAAATTAGAAGGCAAATAGTCAAATTTTGGACTTGCAGGATTGACACCGCGTCTCCTCATTGCGGAACCTATCCTCATGGCAGAATCATAGACCTCTTCCATGAGAAATTCATCCATGTATCTATCTATAATATATTACAGTGACCAAGTTAATTAATGATCAATGAAATAGTACCTTGGAATCATCGACTTGCTGTCGTCCTCAAGTGCAGAGTCACTGTAATAAAGAATAAAGAGTTCAGTGCAAGACATTGAATAGAGGCTCGGAACCAAGTACTGAAATTCAAAATGTTTGCATATATTTTATTTACCTATTAATAACCTGCACTCTCGACAACTGGCCTATTAGCTCAGTTGGTTAGAGCGTCGTGCTAATAACGCGAAGGTCGCAGGTTCGAAACCTGCATGGGCCATTTTGAATTTTATAATCCCTTTTGTCCCTCTACTTTTCAAATTTATTCAAACTAAGCCCTTTTCAAATAGTGACAAAATTGAATAAAAATGTTTAGAATGCTCACTTCGAGCTCGCAAGGTGTGCGCCTGGTCTATTGGATGAAGGCGATCGCCTCTAATTGGAAGTAATGGGATAATTTAACAGTTCTAATTCGGTATTCAATTCATGATTTTTAAGCCTTTTACGATTGAAATTATGACATCACAGTTCTAAACACCCAACGACGCAAATGTGAATAAAAATGTTTAGAATGTTCACTTCGAGCTCGCAAGGTGTGCGCCTGGTCAAGAACTAAGCCAACTGGTTATTTGAAAAGGATGGACAGCAAGAGATGGTTGGTGTTGAAGAAGCATTTTAATATAATAATTTAATTATTAGATAAAATTTTAAAATATAATTTATATTATTATTTAATATATATTATGAAATCTCTTTTAATTTGAAATTTATATAATTTCATACTATTTTATACTTAATTTTTATTTATTTAATAAAAATTAAATTTAAATTATTAGTTGAGGTTCTAAGATATGAATTTATATTATTTTCTAACATATCCTTTTTAAGTTAAAATTCTTTAATCTTGAAACTTGTATAAGTTTATATTACTTTGTGTTTAATTTTTATCAAATAAATAAAAATGATGAGATTTGAACTCATAATTACTTAATCAACAAAACTCTGATACTATACTAAAAAAAATTATTTTAATTTAATAAATTAAATTTTAGATATGATTCAGTGTGTATATATCTATTATTTGGGATGTTTATTGTTAAATTTAAGAAATGAGTGATAGAGAGAGGTGTTAGGAGTGGTGGAGGGTTGGTTGAGCTGCATCAAGAAATTCTTGTATTTCTCCAGGAGGGAAAACATGTGGTAAAAATTTATAGATAATAAAAGTTAATTTGTAGGTAGTGCTCGAAGAAAAACCTCAAATTTTTACATACATGATTGGAAGCGATAATAAATGCATTCGAAGGCGTTACAGAAATTCCTTGTTGAAATCGATTTTAATTATAAAAATAAATAATTTAGGTGTCGATAATAAAATTATCATGAGAGTTGATTTAAGATGATTTTTTTTCTTAAACTTAATAGATCTAAATTTAAAATTATTTTTGATTTTGAATTGATTGTAGATTTTAAAGTGAATATTTAGATTATTAAAAATTATGAATATGTTTTACATGGTATTTAGAATTTTTTTTTGTTTTGTTTTTTCAAGTTAAAATATAATTAAAAATAAGGTTTTTTTTTTAATTTGAAACAAACTAATTTAATTTTTTAGTTATCAAAGATTGCTGGAATTTGGACAAGACAGGTAACATATTATTTACTATTTTTTTTTAAATAATTAAAGATCAGACAATGTCTTTGATGCTTAAAAAAATTAAAAATAAATAAAGCATGCTCTAGCTCAAGCTTGGGTTTTTCTCTAGAGGTCCAAGAGGTTTTTTTTTTAATCCATTATAACTAAAATTAATTTTAATTTTATTATTTAATTAATTATGAACAAAACAACAAAATTTATTTTAGTTTAATTTTTTTATGGTTTTTAATTTTATAAACATTTATTTTATATAAAAATTTTTAAATAAAATATTTACTTCAATTAAATTCATAAAACGAGTCATAAAATTAATAGGTTAAATTTAACTAGGTAGAAATCAAATTTTATAATTTTTTTGTTACATAAATAATTTTTGATTTATTTAATTAGATATATAAATAAATTTTTTGAATTATAATCTTTTAAATTTTATTATATATAAAAATACATGATAAAAATCTGTAAATATATTTTTTCAAAGGAAAAAAATATTTGACCCGCTTTAAAGCGCGGGTCAAATAGTTACATTCTAAAAAACCTGGAGGCTCAAAACCATAAACCAAAAGATCTCGAATTGACTGCACATTGTTAAGTCAACCGCACGTGTGTGAAAATACCCTAAAACCCAAAATCCCCAATCCCTCAAGGAAAATAAAAACTGCAGCATCTAGGGTTTTAGACAAAGCGAAAACAAAAACCCATATCAAAACCAAAAGGAAAATAGAAAGAGACAATGTTTCCAGGAATGTTTATGAGAAAACCAGACAAAGCAGAGGCTTTGAAGCAGTTGAAATCACACGTGACCATGTTTGGTGCCTGGGTTGTTGTGCTCCGTCTCACTCCTTATGTTCTTCATTATCTCTCTGATGAAAAAGATGAGCTCAAGCTCGAGTTCTAGATCCCTTCTTTCTTTCTAAAGGTATTTAAATTTTCTCACTTTCTTCTTCTTTTCGTGGCTTATTTTACTGTTCTGGGAGTTTTTTATTTTTTTGTAGATCTTAAGGACTACCGGAAATCGATTTTTGTTTAGTTTTTGGGTTCTTGGACAGTTTTGGGGGATGGCTATTTGTTTCATTTTCTGTTTCCCGGTAGGAGTTTAAATTGTCATTCAGAATAAAACCCTTTTGACTTTAAAAGACGGATCAGTTTATGAAGGGGTTTTTCTCTATCCGTGATCTTGAGAAATTGTTGCTTTGTAAATAAAGGTGTAGACCAGTCACATGGAATGCGTAGAGCCTGAAATTGTGAGTTTTCTTGTTTAGGGAAGTGAAACTGGTGCTTTTATTTTTGAGTTAGTATGAAACTCTGTGCTGCAAATGTGGCGTGATGGATGATGGAAATAATTTGAGTTGAAGAGTTTAAATGGATGGATGCTTAGAATCCGTAAATGTCAAATTAAGGGCCAATGTGAGTTTAGAACAACGAAGGGAAACTCCTTCCTTTTCTTCCTTGGGTTTGGTTTAAGAAGCTTATGGTGACGAGGGGGTGAAGTAGATAGTAGAGAAAGATGGAGTTGAGGGTATCAATTTTGTTATTCCCCAGGTATTTACAGGAAGAAACAGTGAATTGTGAGTCATTAGAAAATTAGACATTTTTTATAATAAAAAAAGGTGTTCAAAGTGAAATGATGGAATGTTCGTAGTGGGGGGCTTGGTTCCATTTGAAATTGAATATGATGGTTAAGATCAATGAGGAGGATTTCATTGGGTTTTGATGTTAGATAAATTCTTCATGTGAAAAAAACGAAGTTTATGACGTTTACTGGCTTGGGTTATCTTTTTTAATTGTCAAATTGTTGCACACCCCAATGTGGTGTTATTGTCCTGGACCTCCTGGGTCCTAGTTTGTTCATTCTGGTCATCTAGAAATATTTGCGTTTTTATTCTTTAATACTAAAGACCTTTGATACCTTTGTGTCTTGAGGGTTGTGGATTTGTTATGTGCAAATGTTTCAAGTTGTATGTTGCTGACAATCAATCTCAGAGCTGGCTTGCTCAATAGACCTTTTTTCCTTGACAAGTAAATGTTAGGGACAATTTCTGGCACTGATTGCACATTATGTGTTTGCTATAAATTGCCCTCACATCCGAGTTATTGATACTAATTTGTTGGGTTGCAGAATTAAATTTTAGTGTGTTGCCTGGTTAGCATGTAAAGTGCTGTAAGAATTGATCAATTACTTACTAACTAGTTGTCCAGAATACCAGGAAGCTTCAGGTTGTTTTTAGGCATCCAATTTGGTGGGGTTGTAAATTAACTTTTAGTAAATTTCTGTTCTTTCTGCTGTTTTATTTTGTCCACCTTTTTTACTTGCATTTGCTCATGTTCCTTATGATTTGTTTCTCCAGTTTTTTGAACTGTCCAGGAAATGTTTTTGTTGTGTTGTTGCCATCTTTCATTTTTGTTTTTGTGCTAGAGCGTTGCATGCGCACACATACATCAGGTTCTTTGAGATTTCTTGTCTATTTAGCAATGATGATCTTTGCTCATTAGTGTTAATTTAATTTGATGCCTATTATTGTGCATCTGAAGATCAGAGAATATGTTTCTATGAAGCACTCTGAGAAGAATGTTTTGTTGTTTGAAACCCATTTTTCATCTATTAGAGTGTCAGATATATTTTTTGTTCACTGGCGTGTTTTAAGTTGCTAATTCGTCACCAGTGCTTGATGCACAACATTTGGCAAGCTTTTATTCCCATTATTTTTGGAGTTTCCTTTTTAGACTTTTTTTTTTCAAAGTTGTTAGATCGTGCATCATTAGATGAGGTTTAAATTGCTAGAAACCATTAATAAACTTGATTTCTTATTTCAATGGTACCAGTGTAATGAACTGTTTTTAAATTTTTTTTTTGTTGTCTCAGATTTTATTTACAGCTCTTAAGTATATTTATTTAATCTACTTTCTGCTACTGCAGGGTTCCTGGAGGAGACGAATTCTTTCGAGATGAAGATGAGTGTCTGACCTTCTATCTATTTTCATTCTTTTTTCCTTCAGATGAAAGTATGTGAGGTTAGCTTGTCCTTACATTAGGTCATCATTTCTAGCTGCTTATGATTTTGGAGATTCATTACTTTGATACTAAATAATGGCTGATTAAGGATTTAATCCATGGAATGTACTTTTGGTTTCATTGTAGTAGCATAGAAAGTTTATTTTTGTGTTATTTCTGAATGGTGTTTTCTGGGGTACCACTCGGGGTATTCCACAGTAGTTATTTCCTCCTGGCATTGTAGATGATTTTTCTTTTACTGGAAGGGGAAGAAGGGATTGGTGCTTATTTCCTCCTGGCATTGTAGATGATTTTTATTTTACTGGAGGGGGAAGAAGGGATTGGTGCGGGGAGGGTGGGAGGAGGGAGGGGATTTTGCGGGTTTAACCTTCGTGTCGCTGTCGACAAGGGTGGGGGACTCGCTTGTTGCATTTTGATGATCTTGGAAATAAAAGTTTGAAAGCAAGAGGAATTGGAAACTGCGAAGTAATGATAAATTTCTCTCATGCAACTAGAAAGTTTACAGAAACATTTCATTTCTCCCCAACCAGACAGGCAGCAACCGCTGGCTCATAAGCAATTTTGCATGGATAATTGGTTTCAACGTTTAGAAGGTATCTGAATTGGTGTTAGAGGCTATTTGGGAATGAGTTTTAAACCGAGTTATTTAATTGATTTTTTTTTCGTTTAAAATTAATTATTTTTTATCATTTTTTTATTATTATTTTGATATATAAATTTCTTTAAAATGAAACAAATATATTAATATATTAAATAAAAAATATTTAAAAAAAACAATTACTATACTGTATAATGCCGAATGTAATACGGCAACATGGAAACAACCTATAACTTGTTGTCAACAGGCTATGCCAAGGCAGGAGGGCAAGCTTTATCCACCATTGAAAATACGAAAGTCCCAACAGCACGCTTCCATGGTATCTCACTGTTTCCTATTTTTGTCTACGAGTACGGTTCACCAGCAATGTTTCATCTGTAGGCCTTTCATTTATTTCATTGCAGTTGAAATATAGTTCTATTATTTTTTAAAATTAGTTTTTTTAAAATTAAATTTTTTAAATATTTTAAAATTGTTTTGATATGTTATATCAAAATTGATATAGATTGTGTAGAAATCATGCCAGCTTCCAATTATATGAAGAATTTAGAGGCATCGAGTGTCATACTTGTTGTTCTTCTTTCTTTGATTATTCATGGGCTTGAAAATTCAAACCTCTCCACCATTCAGAAAATGTCTAAATGGAGTGGCGTTTTAATTCATGAATTTATGAGCAGCTTACTCTTTCGCTAATTGCTCTCATAATCAAAGCCAATATCCAAATTCAGCCCCAATCACTCCCAGCAACGAGAATCTTTTCCAATGACCAAGCAGGTTGTGGCTCAGCGGTGTAGATGCTGTTTTTCTTTTTTCGAACTTTGATTCGAGTTCCAGTAACAGTGAGGCTGGAGAGTAGTTTTCTTTATGTCTCTACTGAGTCCTCTTTGTGTGGTACGCTTGTCACCCCCGCGATGCTTTACTTATTTATTGGGCTTGCAGGATGTTTAGTGAGCCGTGAAATTAATCATGGTACACGCAAGCTGACCCAATCACCCACATTAATAAAAAAAAAAAAATCTTTGACTTTTGTGGTGCCATTTTCATGGACTTGATCTATCGGCTCATTTGAGGAAATTCTATGTATTATCAATTCCGATTCAAATTATAATAGAGAATTAGCGAAAAAAAAAAAAGGAGGTTAAATTGCCGTATAGCGTTTCCTTTCCAGTACACTTACCGTCTTTCTTCCTAGCTAACTAAAATAGAAGAAAATTAAATAATTGCCGTATAACGTTTCCTTTGCACACAAATTCTTCCATCTCTCCGCCGGTGGCAATTTGCTTAGTTAGGCAAGAAAAGGGCAAGGATGATGATCAATTCTTGGCATAACACACACAAATATTAGAGACATTTGGATTGATTTAGATAGAAAGTATACTGGGATGGAGGTGGCTATGGTTGAGAATTGAAGGGATAATAAGAAGATAAGACTTCAAAAGAAGGCAATCCAAGAAGAAGATCCCATGCAACAAGGCCATGGATGATGTACCTGGTTCAGTGGGGACGAGTGCCAGCTTCTCTTTGAGACTGGGCCAGACCATCTTCTCTTCCGCTTCTCTTCTTTTCATGTCTCTGGGTGTTGAATTCTACACCTACACTGCTTTCTGGTAATCTTGCTTCTTTATTCTCATCTCGTTCGTGAAAGTTGATCTAGCGTGTTCAGTTTTTATTTTGTTCTATTGCCATACAAATGTTACATTTTCAGTTTCTATGACACAATCAAAAACCAAATTGGAGGAGACAGATTACAGTAATTCCTAAATCAATTCATTTGTCAGTTTGGATCTATCGTGAGCCAAAGCAGCATCCTTAGACCAATAATGAAAATATCCTTGCCTAGGATTTTACACGACCTCTTAGGTTTTGGTTGCTGATTTGTCTGTTGGTAGAAAGAAGAGAATAATTGGTTCCATTATAATTGTCTAGAAAGGAAACCAGGAAAATCTTTTGTTTTAGTGCTGTCGGATTTTCAAAATAATCCCGAAAATAGAATTTATCCACTCAACAAATCGAAGTTACTTGAATTCCCCTTCTTTGTAGTTTGTATCAAATGGTGCTGTTCAACATTTGCCTTTCAAGGATCAGTAGGTTGGAAATTTAGAAGCTAATGAAATTTTCTGATTTGGGTTTTATGGAGATTTTATCGAGCTGGTATCAAGATTCTGTAGCATGAGGTCTGCAATCTTGGTATCCTTATCACTCTTTATTTTCCTGAACCCAATCAAGAGCTTTGAGAAATTTAATTCGATGAACCAAAGTGGACAGATTATTCCCTCAAAATTTTAGTTTCTGCTTTTAGCTTTCCGCTAAATAAATCTTCTTCCGCTAGGTGTGCTCTTAGTGATGAATCTTCTGTTTGCACAACCAACTTCCTGGGACTGCATTCTTGCTGGTATCGTTGACAATATTTCATCCGAGTTAAATTTAATTTTAAATTAGTTTATCACTGTCAGAGTCTGTGCATTCTTGCTGGTATGTTTCCTCCTTTCTAAACCATTGGAAACCATGTGCTAGTTTGGCCCAGCTTTTTGTCCAAAACTTGGAAGACTTTAACAATCATCTTCTTAAGAAAGGAGTAAATATTTTGATCAAACAATGGATGATTTTACTTGCAACAATGCCATTTGATCAGCATATTGAATCATCAGAGGCCCTTCATGGTTTTTTCTGCTTTTAGCAAATACTGCTTCAATGTTTTCAATATTTAAGCATGCTTGTTTTTCAGCTACTTGGTTACAATCATGGGTTTGACTATTCCATGGAGTTTCACACTGGCAATAGTTGATGGATACTCTGTTCTGGTCAAATGCCCTGTTCGACAACCGGGAATACTTCTGATTATTGTCCTTGGAGATTGGGTATGTTCCATCTGCGATTTGTCCAAAACTAATTGATGCATTTATTGGAACTCCTTGTGACAAATTCCATCATGATACACGGCAGGTTTTATCAGCTCTAACATTAGCTGCAGCATGCTCAACAGCTAGTGTTGTGGATCTCCTGCTCCACTCTGATGGATCCTATTGCTCTCCAAAGTTTTGCAGCAGGTATCAAATATCGGCTGCCATGGCTTTCTTGTCTTGGTTTCTGTCTATGGCTTCGTCTCTTTTCAATCTTTGGTTACTCCCTTCTTTGTGATTTTTCACTCACTGTTCAAAGGAAATTTTTTGTGATTGGTGCAAGATTGTTAAAGATATATATAAAATCCAAGTTCTGTACGTTTACATGCTCGAAATTGTGAAAATGGTGGATCTAAAACCACATGGTTACAAATTTGTTGATTTATTTGAGGAACTGTACATAATAAGGTTTAATGTAAACTTGATAAAAGATCAGGAATGTTTTGTACTTGATATGCATAAACCAAAGGGCCCTTTAATCAATTCTGAACTTCCACAAACTCATCACTCACTTCACTCAAATCTTTGTTGTGGTACTTGCTAGGAGTAACTGAAGTTGCCGTGGCCTGCCTACTGGTAAAATATATCTCGCTCATATAATATCCACTCCCAATTGGAAGTATTAACTTGAAATTCGATAACATAAGCTAACAGTTCTGAAAAGTTCAGTAACGAAGTAAGCATAAGTTCAATGACAGTAGAATCCTGCATCTCCGTACTAACTCGGATCCGGATATGTATTTTTTGTAATGCCATCTTCGATCACTGCTTCGTAGACCTGTTAAACTACAAAATTTACATTATCAGGCATCAACTTATTCTAACTAGTACATTCACGGGAGGAAAAACCATGTTTTCTTTCTGAGAAAAATCCGGAGATCTTATTGCTGCTCGATGCAGACAAAATAAGTACAATAATATGTGAAGGATGCTGGCTTAAGCATGCTATGCTTATGTGCAGCTAGGCTAGCACCAATCTGAACACAAAATCTCAAAAGTTAAATGCCGCAAACATATCATCTGCAGCAAAATGATTCAGGCCGCTGAAGGATATGGATTGATAATCTTTACAGCTAGCATAAAATACATTCTATCAATTCTCAAGTGCCGCTTTCTGGTAGTTCATATCCATCACAAATGGACAGGGGACGTTGCATCAACAGAAAGAAGTCACCAAGTAGATAGACAAACCCTCGGTTGTTCTTTCTTTATCCAGTAATTGCTTTAACTAGGTGCAGAACTAATGGATTTCCTAGGTTGCAGCACACAATAATCTGCTCATCTTGATGCCATTTTAACTGTCTTACTCCCATCATCAGAAAACAAACTCAATTCCTACAAGACGACATTTTATTCGACGGGGGAAGGGAGGCAGCGCATCCACAGTGCTAAAAGCTTTCAAGGATCCGAGCACCTGTCTTGTCCAGTAAAGGAAAGAAATTGAGGATAAATGATTAAACTAATCAATCGTGCAGTGAAAGCTGATTACAAACATTTATTTTTTAACAAAAACATACCACATTTCTCAAGCTTTTGAAGGTGAACACAAAAACCAAGGGGTAGGCTCGCAACTAATCAATCGGTAACATTATCCTCTTGCTGCTGCTTTTGAGCTACAGGCATTTCCTTCCTCAACATAGCTGCCATTTCCTCATTTCC